AAGCAAATCGGACAACACAGACTGATGCGCCAAATAATTTACAAGCTTTCAAATCTGACAAAAAAATTATTGGTTTCAGTGGCAGAGCCAGGGTTGGGTTATCTAAACGGAGGGGCCCGACCAGGAGAAATGTGGATTAATGATGGGGATATGAAGGATGTGCGGGGCGACTTTTTTCTCCCAAACAACGTCCGCATATGGGTGTATGGTATGGCGTTTTCTAAACACACGAGAAGAAAACACAAAATTAGAAGAAAAAAAATAAATTCGAACGTAATAAAATTTGGACTTTATATCCCTTTAAAAAAATCCCTCCGAAATCTCAGGATAGAAAAAAAGAAAATGGGGTGCCAGGCGGTGATGCGAACCCGCAACCTTGCGGTGCAAAATCACAACCCTGTATCGACTGAGCTATCGCACTACTGCCAAAACGTTGAAAATATAATAGTTATACCTGCGTACATATCATAAAGGTGTCGTAGAGGGCGTTAAACAACCGTGTATGCGGATGTAGTTTGGGAAAGAAAAAGCCCCTTTGGCCCAATGAATCAACCACTTAGTTTATTAACATCAACTTGGAGACCAACAAATAAATAAAACAAGTAATCCATTTCATTATCACGGGCTCTGTACACAGCAATACCAGTATCATTCAATTGAGCATGTTTCTTAAGCTGCACACGGCCGTATTTCATATGCCATCATTATTGTAGCAATGTTAGAGGTACCGCGATATTGACATTTCCTATTCTGGTGACACACAAAACTGAAGTTTTTCAAATGAGTGTTACTGTGTCCCATCAAGCTATTTCAGCTTCAAATCACTCCTACATGTCGACAAATATGTCTTCTTTTACAAAATGGCAATAGATCGGGAAAAGCATACCTCAATTTGTCCAAAACCAGAAGTTTCAGAGCGTGATTTTCAGGACGGCCGTCTTGAATGCGGCCATTTCGACACTAAGTTTGGCATTTTCATGCCTCGAAAATGGGTTACCGTTTTTGATTAATACCGCCCTCTCTTGACTTCCAAATCAATAAATACTGCCATCTATTGACCAGATAGGATAGGACAATCTGCTGATGCTTTTTGTTTCGTTTCAAACGGTCAAGAAATAAGGTTTTACGGTAATTTTTGCCAATTTTTGCAAAATTTTGATCAAATTTGCCACTTTTTTCACAATTTAGATATACAGAACATGGGGGGGATTCCTGTAAACCTATATCACTAAATTCCTTGTTCCTTTCTGAGTAAGAATATCTTGATTTTGTTCCTGCGTGTGCTTGTGGTCTGTAGTAATGTATTTGTTTAAAAGTCTAATGACATCGATGATATGTCGAATCTCCGCGCTGATGTGACGCAGTTGATGATGATGATGCGCCGTCATGTTTGCACCAGTAACTCAGTGTTTTTCACGAATGAAACTCGTACAAACGTCCATTCATGACCAACAAATGTATTTCAGTTGATTTCAAAATTATTGTTTTAATTTAATAATAATAAAAAAAATCATCATTAACATGATTAAAGGATTAATTTAATTACATCAGCAATAATAATGCATTTCCATTTGCTGCCAAAACTTGACTTGTAACCTTTGATGGGGGAGGGGTGGTAAGTGTGCAGTGAGACATAATTCTGGTGGAGGCATATTTTTTCTCTTTTTTTCAATTATTGGAGGAAAGGAAAATGTCTTAAAAGGTGTGTCAATAATATTCCCTGTTTATTTTACACATAAATTAGTCTTTCTGGATTCATGCTTCATCACAAAAGGTCATGAGTGGATCTCCACAAGCTGCAGGAAGATCTTCAAAAACGAGACCTAATCATTGAAGATCAATAAGGTTACATTATAAATTCATCTTCCATCTTATGCAGAAAAAGCGGGGGGAGGGTCATAGGAATTGGGATGCTGAATGCTGGTATAAAGGGAATATATCTAGTTCTGGAGGCATCACTTTCTCCTCAGTAGGTGCTGCTCCACCCTGGTTACAGAAATAAAAACACACAATCAGAATAGTTTCACGAGTAATAATGGTGTGTTTTGGAAGACATAACTTCTGAACGGAAGCACCTATGACAATGACATTTGCACCATTGAATTTCTCTCATCGAAAGCTTTCATTTGATGTATAGTTTGACTATATTTGAACCAAAACTGAATAGTATGGTCGGTTCTAAGTTGACAAATGCATTAACTCGAATGACGACCAGAAGAGTTCCAGGAGTATGGTGTTTTGGGAGGACATAACTTCTGAACGGAAGCACCTATGACAATGTTGTTTGCACCATTGAATTTCTCCCATCGAGAGCTTTAATTTGATGTATAGTTTGGCCATATTTAACAAAAAATTAAAAATCATGTAATAATGCTAGTGCACTTCACAAAAAACTCAGCTAAAATCATATTTTTCTTAGGCCCAGAATCGCTCATTTTTGTACTGGAGTTTTGATACAGGTCCCTCAATCACTTTGAAAGTATAATATTACTAAATTGTATGTTTAAAATTGAAAAATTCATACCTGTAGTGGAGTCGGTGCAGTCAGTGGCCTACATACAACTCAGTCATAATAGCATGTGATTATCAGCATGTAGTTCATGTCAAAGAAAAACGAATTACTGCTTGTTTGATGCGCAACCATTAAATCTATTCACATGGGATAATATTTACATTAATCATAAGAACAATTATTACTAATTTGGAAAATAGATAATAACTGTCTGTTAATTTACCAATACTTACATCAACTACATGGTCTAAACTTATAAAAGTTTCAGCTTCATGCATGCAATGTTTGTTCGTTTGTTTGAGCTTAATGTCTCCACTCTGTAAGAAATAAAATATGCAGAGCTGGGAAAACAGCATTGCATCAAGGTTAATAAGGTATACACATAATATTTGACCACAACAACATAGGTGTAGACATCCCTTTGTTGGTATAGTTTTCGTAATATTGCACAAAAAAATGGGTTTTTCGGTAATGGTGTCATGAATTCAGATAATACACGATAAACTACACATCTCCAGACACTACAATGGTGTTTAACGTAAAGATTGACCATGAAAACATAGGTGTAGAGACCACATTTGTGCTATTACCATGCATACTTTTTGAAATATTGTCAAAAGAGGGATTTTCGGTAATGGCGGTGCTATATTACGTCATTTCGGACCTTAGGCCACGCCCTAGACCCGGCAGCAATGCATTTTTGTGATGTCCCCATGATACCCTTTCATCTTATGTGGTCGACTGCTTTGGCGCTTTTCCCATGAATAAATGTTCTGGGCTCCCACTCTAATGTTAAAATAATAAAAGAAGAATATTCTTATTTATTTGGGGATGAGAAAAAAAAACTTTAAAATGTGCTACGGTCGGAATCGAACCCGAGTCATCCCGCTTACTAGAGCATTTGCTTAACCACTACACCAAACGTGCTTCACAACTTTTGGTAGGAATTTAATACATCTCATAATTCAGCCCTATCTTAAAGAGTACAGCGCCCTCTGTTGATATGGATTGCCGCCGGCAAACCTTTAGTAAACGTTAGTTTGCCGTCATTACCTCCGGCAAAATATCCACTATCTAAAAAAAATGGAATGGTAAAGTTCTTAAATTATATTCTCAAATTGTTCTACAAGGCAGAAAAAAGCATCAAAGATTTCACATTTCAAGGAGATGGATAATTAATAGAACGGTTGAAAGTGAAAGCACCGGAACGTTCAAAATAATAAAGACAATACTTACCATGATGTGGAAATTTTAGAATAAGGGAATACATATGTATTCCCTTATTCTAAAATTTCCACATCATGGTAAGTATACATGTGTGCTTGGGAGGTGTTAAACACTATGGATGGAGTCTGGAATGCTGATAATTATCCGAGGCGAATTGATAAATACTGTTTCGGTAAAAAAAAAATTCAAAGCAAGTCAAAAATAAAACTTTTCCAACGAGGGACCCCTCTAGCTATTATAATGGCATTGATCTCACTAATGGAGATCAATGCATAATGGAGTGTCCAGCTCGCGAGTAAGACGTTAACAACTCGGTTATGGACATGATGGAGATTGGCGTGCGCCGCGCGTACTGCGGGATGACACGCAGATGCAGCTGTGGTGAGTGTGTAGTGAATGGACTGTGAAATACTGCTGGTACGAGAGGATTGTGAAGAACGTTCAACCATTATTCAATAAAATGGTAAAAGGCACTGGATTTCATAGAAGTCCAGATTAAGACCAGCCAGCCATGTCTTTATCATGCATTTAAGACCGGCCACGTGACGGGCTCTCGAATGGGTAAACTGTCTGAGGTATTTAAATGAATATTTATTAATGATTACTTTCTGGATAAATATTAAGGGAATTAATGTGTGCTTTTGGAGGTTTTAATCACTCTGTTTAAGACCGCTTGGTGTCTGGGTGCTGATAATTACCCGAGCCGAAAGCAATGTGGTGTATGATAGTAGGCATCCAATGGGACAACAATGAAAATGGGTATCCAATGGATCGCTTGCGCGTACCTCGCTGAATTAAAAACAAACTACTATGCGACTTTAAGACGCATCATTGGAATTGCCTTCTTTCATTTTTTTCTTCAAAATGGAAACTTGCCAGAACGAATAATTTCACAGGGTGTTTAGTCCCAATACTATCTTTGGACCGAGTTTGCTTTTCAACAATAATTTCGTCAGTTACGTTTTGGCTGGCTGCAAATGAGTCCTGTAGCTTTAAGCATCCTGTGATCGTTGTGCCACCATGCATGAAGAGTGTCACCTATTGTCCAATAATACCCATGATCATCCGGTTTGAACTGCGTCTTCATAGGAAACTGATGTCCATGCATGGAGTCCTTCTTAACCCCCCCTCCCCACCCTTTTCCCGCAGGCCGGGCGACTGGTGGGAAAAAAAAACACCTTTTCAACACTGCTGATCTGTTGCAGTGCTCAATGTGCCCTTTCAACATCACAATGACCTTTTTTTGTATTTATACATGTAGAGAATGACCTTCAACTGGTTGGAAGTGATCGAACCTTTGAAGGCAAATTGATGATACAGCATGCTGGGGCTTGGAGGACAGTGTGTTACGACGGATGGACACATGAGGATGCATCTACTGCTTGCAGGCAACTAGGTACGCTAATATTATCTGGAGTATACACACAAACATGCACATGTTTATAATGTAAATCGAGGACATGAGGAGTATCATTGAGTAATTGAGGACAGGAGTCCAATCAAAGACGTGTACAAAACCAGTGGGAGAAGTAAAAGATCGATGATAAAGAACAGTGGAAAATCCTCTATTTACACCATAGACAAACCTGTGCATACATTGTAAACAAACATGTGCACGTATAGGTTTTCCCAATTATCCTAAAAAGAAATCATTCAGATTATTAACACGAAAGCCATTTCAAATTTGTTTTTAAATCAAATGCTGCCTTGAGCTTTTAAACATCAAAAGGAGTCATTCAGTTTCATTATTTGAACAGTCTTTCGATACATGTTCCATTCATTCAAATTTGTCAAAGGGCCTAGAAAGAAATTGATCAAGAATTCAATGTAAGCAGACATTTTGGCAAACATTTTCACATGTCTGCATTTAAATCTGTTTCTGTGGTATGTGTTACTTGATTTGTATTTGGTTATTCATGTATAATGCTATAACATTGACCCTACATTTGTTTCTTCAAATCTTCGTCAACTTTTAATTTGAAGTTGTCCATATAATTACACACTGAAATAATTAACAGTACCTGTACAGTGTACACACAATCACAATAAAAAAAAAGCCAGAACAAAAATTCAAGAAAGCCAGAACAAAAATCCTGCCTTGATTTCATATGTCTCATATGACAGGCATAAACATAAATAACACAATAATGATACAGAGGAATTATTCAAATCAAGACTATGATTATGGAACAAGAATATCATTCAGTGAAAGAAAGATAGAAATCCCTACTCGAATAATCCATATTGAACACTCAGATTGACTCTAAACGCAACAGAATACCTCATGCAGATATAAGATCCTGTACTCTTCGAAGACTTTTACTAAATTGATTGCATCAATTGGAAAGCGACATTAGAAATTACACTTGAATAGCAGTGGTGAAAATGTAGTCTTGAATGCCTATAAATGAAACGAACCTGAATGGCAAAACGAAAATCATGTGTGCATGAAAACAACATTGAATGCAACAGAGAAGAAGAAACCCCAGTATGAACGAAAACTGAAAAATCTGCTCCAATCTGAATGTCTCTCTATTGAAAATGAATGTGTTTTTGCAGAAACTGGCTGGGAAAACCTATATTATTACAGAAGTTGCTCTCCCTGTGTAATTCAAGAAATTACTTTAATTTTTTCAACTGACGAACAATTTCAGTGTTTTATTGCTGTAATTAATTGGTTGTCTCTAAAAAAAACACACCCAAAACAATGATTTGATGCTAAATTTTACAGGGTGCACATCCAAATGAAGCTTGTGATGAGAACAATCCAACATTTTTTATGACTAACTTTTAAATATTTGCAAATTAGATGTAATGCCCAGTCTTGCAGAGCAGATCAACTTAACACAATGTATACCAGTCTCAAGAAATACAAACACGTCATGGCAATTTTAGCAAATTGAGCAAAATTTGAAATGCACATAAAATGCACATGTTTAAAAACAACATTCTTTCTACTGGCTAAATTTGCTAACTAAAAAAACAAACAATGTAAACTTTTTGGACAACCAAGCAAAATTGTTATTAACCTTAATTGGGTAAGGAGATTTCGTGTACAACTTTGCCGAAAACCGAACAATTTTATGCTATATTACAACCCATGGTTCCTAAATTTGCATATAAAACTAATAATAATAAGCACAAATGTAAATTATAGCTCAACGTCTTCAAAATAAAGCTGGTATAGGCCTAACACAAATCAACATTGTTGGTGAATCGAGTTGTGTGATTGTTGGTAAATTTCAGTCTTTTCTAACTCATGATAATGAGTCGAATTCTGTTCTCGCTAAGTGCAACATAATCACCCTTCAGAAGATGATACAATTTCTGACTATTATAGCCTTTGGTCTGCAGTAATGCCTTTTCTGACAGTAAAGTAAGAATAGAAAGTTGCAATTATTATTGGACCATCCATTGCGTCTACGGTAAGAGCAAGTGTAGGGCTAATACCCAATTGTTTTGGTGAGGCTATACCTTTTTCACTGTACTTTCCACACAAGACTTTTTATCTGAATGGAAAAGCACAAAATAAATGACTGGTGATGATAACCGTAAACATAACAGATATAATCATAGCATATCCAGACATAAAATCAGACTGTTTAAAACAGTAACGATTCAAACAGTGAATTTGTGCTTAAGACTATAAACTTCATGCAGTGTGTTTCAAGGGGTGTTTGTAAAATTATATTGACATTGAAAGATTCAGGACTGTTTAAATAAGTTGAAGAAATAGGCCTGTATAATATGCACCTCGGTAGAACTTCACAATCCCTGCTTTCTCCACCAGCGTTCCAATACTGATGGGTACTTCATATAGTTCCCTTTGACCAGCGTTTGATGGTTGTTTACTGTACATCGGAGAGGGGTCATTTCCATCGCAGCTCATTGGGGAAAAGATAACAAATTGGTGAACACGACACCTTGGAAACATATGCTTGATGCTGCCATTTTTATTTGTACCTGAGGGTCTAATACCACATGTATCGAGTGGTGAGGCAGTGAAACTGCCACCTGAAGTTATTGTGTAACTTGAGCTGTCACAAAAGATACAATTTAATTTAACGAGTTAAAACAATTCTTTGGGGTTTATGCAGCAATCATCATAAAATAAATAGCTGAAAAGGCACCCATTGGTCAAGCCTCAAGGCATTTATGGATATATCAGTCACATTCTGAGGTTATGACTGTTTGGGGGTACTGAACAATCCATATTACCAATATTTTATTACATTAAACTCCTCATGAACCAGAAGAAAATAGAGGGTTTCTTTTCTTCGAGTTTCGAGTTTCGAGTTAAGTTTTCGAGTTTCGAGTTAAGTTTTCGAGTTTCGAGTTAAGTTTTCGAGTTTCGAGTTGACTTTTCGAGTTTCGAGTTAAGTTTTCGAGTTTCGAGTCGAATTTTTGAGTTTCGGGTTTCGAGTTGACATTTCAAGTTTCGAGTGGACTTTTCCAGTTTCGAGTTGACTTTTCCAGTTTCAAGTTGGTTTTTCGAGTTTCGAGTTAAGTTTTCGAGTTTCGAGTTGACTTTTTCGAGTTTCGAGTTGACTTTTCGAGTTTCGAGTTGACTTTTCGAGTTTCGAGTTAAGTTTGCGAGTTTCAAGTTTGTTTTTCGAGTTTCGAGTTAAGTTTTCGAGTTTCGAGTTGACTTTTCGAGTTTCGAGTTGACTTTTCGAGTTTCGAGTTGACTTTTCGAGTTTCGAGTTGACTTTTCGAGTTTCGAGTTAACTTTTCGAGTTTCGAGTTGACTTTTCGAGTTTCGAGTTGACTTTTCGAGTTTCGAGTGAACTTTTCGAGTTTCGAGTTGAGTTTTCCAGTTTCGAGTTGACTTTTCGAGTTTCGAGTTAAGTTTTCGAGTTTCGAGTTGACTTTTCGAGTTTTGAGTTGACTTTTCGAGTTTCGAGTTGACTTTTCAAATTTCGAGTTAAGTTTTGTGTTTAATAGGAAGAGGCGTAATCATACATGTCGCCACTACATTTTAAGTTATATGGAATGGAGTTTGGCCGCCACCATGCATTTAAGTTTTTATCAGACTTGTGTTTTCTCATCGTTTCTTGAGCCGGGGGTGGGAAGGCAGACGAGATCTAATAGATTGTCCATCTTATGTTTGGAGCTTGTCTGGAGATATGAGGCTGTAAGTCTCAAACTATCGCTTTTATACCATTCTTGTTGTATGTCTCAAACCCTGACTTAATCTGAGGTTTCGTATACAGAGTGCGATAGGCAGGAGATTTGTTAATAGTCATGCATTGGATGCGCAGCCGTATGGTAATTTGATTGGTCTCCTACTCCACATGTGACTTAATAACGTAGTGTTTTTGTCCGCTGACATGGATCATTTGGAGTCTAGGTTCGATTCCAAAGATACAAATGCACGCCTCTTCGACCGCCGACCGGGTGGTCGGGGGAGGGGATATCAATGTGTTTAATAGTTAAGTTTTTATCTGACTTGTGTTTTCTTAAAAAGAAGTGGTTTTCTGGCTAGGAAAATAGCAAGGAAGAACCGGTTTTGTGCAAGCAAAATTCAGGGAATAATCTGTTGATATTAATAACTTGTTGGAAAGTTCCAAGGTCATTCCAAGAAAGTTGCCGCCGTGAATTAGGGTTTAAAACATGGGAGGGGGATGGGATTTGCTATCAGCATCAGCAGGGCCGTTCCTCATTCTTTTCTTTTTATGGGATGTATGAGAACATTGGAGTACGAGGGGCTCTGCGAGCTGATGAATCTTTTTTTTGAAAAACATTGTGTTTGCAACCAGCTAGGGAAGATTTTCGTTTATTTAAGACTTACAAGCACTGGTATGGATACCTGTGTAGTTATATGACTAAACTGCCTAGAGCGTATTTGTTAAGGTTTTTTTTCCTTTTTTGGAAATTCAATACGCATATAGGGAGTAAAATCAGTTCCACTGCTGGGTTGCCGTGATGGGTGGGTTATAGCTTGTCAACACATACCTTGCCAGCGGGCCCATTAGATTGGTGATAACCGGAGAGCGGGAGTTTCAAAAAAACTCATCCGGTGTTTAGGCGATGCAAGGACTGGTTTGTGTACATGTGGTTTTTGTTTCTAGTTCACTTAATGTTTTGATTTATACCGGTGATAATATGCCGTCCCACCTGTTTTTCTTTTTTGTGTGTCGGGGGAAACAGAGCATATTTTCTGTGCCCTTTTTACGCACTTCATCAGTCACCCTTTGTTTAATTCTTTTGTACGTATTTACTTTATTGCTAATGATGGTAAAGAATATTTTACGCGTTAGCTTTTCTTGTAATGATCAGACTAAGTGGATTCCTTATTTTTAATTTTTATTTCGAAATCCATGCCTAAATGACCATTATGTTAGTTCTGTTCTTCAAGAAGTTCCAAAAGGATTTGAACGTTCTCCTCATCCAAGT